ATAATAATAATAATATCATCATCATCATCATCTTTCAGGCCCTTGCAGTTGCTGGTTTGTGGAATTAACTCAGTCTGAGCTCTTACCATACCAGCAGAAGGGTCACTCCATTTTTGTTTTGTCTCCCAAAAACAAGTGGTCCACAGTGTTAGAGCACTCAGAAGAGCCCAAAGAAAGACCTACCATTTTCTCCTCCCAGCTCTTCATCTGGCACAATAAAATGAGCACAAATGGCTCTGGAGAATATCATGTTGCAACCCACAAGATAACTGGAACAATGAAAGAATCTCTGGTATTCCAAATTGTTGGTGCGTGTCTCGGAAGAAGCTGTAGCCAGGATTTTCAGGGAAAATATCTCAGGTTCAGTTCCTGCCATCTCCAAGTAAAAGATAAAGAGACAAAGTGCCAGTAAGTAAAGATCTGGAAAAGACTTTTGGACCAGGCAGACACGGCGTGGCCTAATTATGGCAGCTGATTATACTCAGTGGAAGGCTGAGGTGGTCTAACTGGGGTTTGCAGATGACAGCAATTTTTGCCAAACAACGGTGGTGCAATTTCTGGCCACTTTTAAACAGACAATAAACAAAAAGGAAAAAATTGGTTTAAGCCTCAAATAGGCATAATACACCTAAAATGTTTTTATATTCACAACATTCCCTTTACTCTCAAAGAGGAAAAAAGCTGGAAAATCCTCCTGCCCCTCTGATGACGATAGTTATATCCCCAGCCTTTCCAAGGTGGCCCTCAGCTACTAAGGAAAAAGAACGCCACTGAGGTAAATAATAGTTTGGTGGTTATTTGAAACAGCTATGTCGTTTTTTGTGGTAGATGATCACTCCTGTGTAAAGCTTTGGGGGCAGGGGAGAAGGTCATTTAAACAGAGGTTGGGTTATCAGCAGTCAGCTATATTGGGTGTACAGATGTGTCCTCCCTTGCAGAATCTGCCCTGAGCCGTGGGTTGGACTACGGGGTCTCGCGTGCCATCTTAATTTTCTCTGGTTTTATTTCTCTTCAAGTATGTTTGCAGTTATTTCTCTGGGCCTTTGATGAACATTTGCAGGAATATGGGAGATGCTGGTGGTGATGACATGCTAGAGGATGAACTATGCTTTACCAAAGGAACAGTAGATGGTTTGCATTCTGATAAAAATGAAGGGTTACTGGGACACTTCCTTTTAAGGATGGCGGGCAGAAAATATCGGAATAGAGTGAGGGATGTGAAAGGAAAGGGGCAGCGGACTGCACTGAGTAAAAAGGAAAGGGAAAGGAGATAGCCATGAAAGAGAAAGCTATAAAAAAGAGACAGACTCTCTCTTTACCCCTGTGATAATAATTCCAGTTAAGCACTCAGGAGTTTTCCTGTTGTTCCTTTGGAAAAAGAAATAACTTATACTCTATATTATCTCTTTCTACAATGTAATTGTTAAACAAAGTTTCAATTATTCAGAATCAATTAGTCCTCTAGGTTCTTGAGAGATAGATTTTAATAACTCCTACCAACCACATATCTAAGATACCATGGTTCCAGGAGAAGAACTAGTACATGCGGTCCTTGTCCACACATTCTATTTCTGCAGATTCCCTTATACACTTCTGTAATAGGAATAACCCATTTTTTGTCAAACATCTCAATGTGGCTATATATAGCCATGCACAGTACAGAAAAAAATCTGAGAGCTTTGCCACGCAATACTGACATGAGCCACACCAAGGAAAACTGCATTCTTGTGCTCACGGTGTTTATTGTGTTAACAAGTTTCCACATCATTCTGATAATAATTCATGTTATGGCTGGTGTGGGTCTTCCGGGCTGTGTGGCCGTGTTCTTGAAGTTTTGTTTCCTAACGTTTCACCAGCACCTGTGACCGGCATCTTCAGAGTGCAGGAGCACAGACAGGAGCATTGAGATTCACAAACACCAGCACAGTTTCAATAAAAAAGAGGAGAGTCTAAAAATCAACAA